AAAAAAAAAAAAAAAGCTTACTGTTATGGCGTAAAAATTGGAAGTGGTGCATGACACGGCAAAGCAGAGGAAGTTATACGTAGTTATACGTATCAGTTGAATGTAAGTTTGCAACTGTGAGTTCCTGATGGTGGAAGTCTTGCAAAAGTCATTGAAAAAAGTCCCATCGGAGCTGACCATTTCTCAGAGTTGTTGCTGGAAGTATCGATTTTTGCAACGAATGTTGTATACAACACTTCCTGGGAGAGAAATTGTGCGTGCAGAACAACGTCCAGCTTGAAGAATTTATGGTGCTGAGCTGTGTGAATATTTGATTTTTGTGTCTTGTAAAAGTTTTTATAACATTACAGTATGAAGAAATGTGAAGGAAGGAATCATTTAAAAAGCTCTGTTGAAGCCTGTAGAGGGGGAAAAAAAATGAGACAATTACAAGACGGGATAAACGAAATAAAAGCGTCAGTGACTCAGCAAGACGTAGAGGACGATTTGGTGACCACCTATTTTAAAAACGCATTAAGAACTGTTGCTGAGAAATAGTAAATTTTCTTTGAAAAGAAAAAGAAATAGAGTGATAACTTCGGACTCTGCAGAGGTACGTCACGTTCTATGATGAACAAATTCAGCAGGATACCAGGTAAGTAATTCATAAGATGTTGTGTTTGAGGCTTGTTTGGTGGCACAGGTCATTATTAATTTTTTGTTGAAACAGGGGATGGATGCCGTCGCAGTTAAGCATGCCCGGCCGCTACTATTTCTTTTATTTCGACTTACCTTCATTTTTTGAACATGAATTTTCAACTTCACTAGCTTCCTTATCTGTGCTAGTTCCAGATAAATCTATGTAATTCTTACTAACTTTTTAACGGTTTGATGCCAAAGTCTTACTTTATTCCTCACGGCTTTTTACGAGGCCCTTTCCTTTCGGCATGTGGTACCGCGATCAATCAACAGTCTCGTCGAATAAGAGGGTGATTACGGTAGCCACTGTCCTAAGATGTCCCGGTTGATTCTTTCTTTCCCATAACTCTCACTGTAAGCGCAATTAGTCACTTGCAACTTATGGCATCAGCCACGGACTCCACTACTGTAACCTTGTGCAGAATCTGATTTTTGTATGATCGTTCTACGATGTGGATAGCAACCATATTTTAACGACGGCTTTTGGAGAACTGGCCACTGAGAAAAAATTGCTTGTTAACGTTTCTGAAAACTTAGAATGTTACTTCGGTATGACACCACAAAGAGATGGACAATATGTAAATTTTATTAGCTTTTCTAAAACTAGGTCAACCGTAAAATGAAATCTTTGAGATTAATTCTCCTTGTAAGATGTCGACACAATCGGAAAAGGTATTTAGAATAGTCTTTCGCTTTCTGTTACTTCAGCAACTGGACTGTCACCAAAAGGGAACGGAACAGCTTAAAGAAGATAAAAAATGAAAGTGATAACTTCAGAGCAGTAAAAGTAATACAATGAACAATTTACAAGTGCAACAGACCTAGGACACGTGCAACTAGAAATCTATGGCTGTCAGAAGGACACGGCTTATAAAAAAATATAAAGAGAAATTATAAAATCAGTTGCCTCAGTAGAGGGCTGAGGAGAGGAACTTTGTTTACGATATACCCGTCATTACAACTCTAAAAAAACAGAGGCTTCCCTTCATAACGTCTGACCGCAGTTCATTGACTAATCATTTTTTTGCTCTCCGAGATCTTCCGCTTGAGAGCAGGTCGTACATTTTGGTATCCGAACCGTGGTTTACATTTCGCGTACAGTTGCAACAGAAGATGGAATTGAAAGTGACCAGTTTTGTGACTGCGCAACGTTGAGTTCGGTTCACCTAATGGCCATTCGTTGCTGTTCTGGTCGCGCTTCTCTTGTATCAATGCTTAAAGTTTCTACTGCACTTAACCCTGAGATTTATGCTTAAAAATTAGCTCCACCCACTGGCGGTCACTTCTTAAGTAGCTTTTTGTTCCAATCATTTGGTACATTAAGGAAGAAGTAGTTCAATGAGTAAATGTTTTTGGAATACTAAGAATTTGAAGTTAATCAATTTTTCTATTTTGTTCGTGATTGTGCATCTACCTTTAAAATTCCGGCCAACTATGCTTTCTAGGTTAGTGGTATAAAAAATGCTAAGAAGAACTGTGGATAGAATTTGACAGTCAACATTGGTACCAGCGATTGGCAGTGATAGTTTCGCGTTTGAACGTCAAATTTAGATAATTAAACTTTTTTTTTTTTCAAAAGAGTTTCATATCAATGTCACTTGATTAATATTTAACAGGACCGGCAGGTGACTAAAACAGCGCATCAAAGAGAAATATGAAACGAATCAGTGTTCAAAAAAAAAAAATAGCATTATCTTATAATTCATACAAAAGTCTATATATTTCAATATTAGACAAATTAAAAACCTTACTATGCGACACCAAGAATAATATGTAGCTGTATGATATTAGTTCATTAGATGATAACTCCATATGAATCGGATATGTACTAAATATGTACTAAGCATAATTTGCCGCTGATGAACATATTTCATGTAGGGAAACAAAAGTAAAGAGAATGGACAGAGCAGTCGTTGAAGTCATTAGCTGGTGCATACACTAAGTGACTTCTTTCTTCCTAACTCAAGAATGTTACTGCTCTACTTATTGAGCATGTAACTAAAAAAAATCACCTACGGCGGTACACAGTTGTTGTTGTTTGGTACATCGGGTCCGAGAACAAACTTTTTAGTGGTTGTCTGTTTATCACTATGGCATAGCTTTTCGTGTTTGTTCGCACTCTACTGGTAATTTACATGCGGCAGTACAAACTCATGAAAATGCTTTTTTAATTAAAAATACCTTTTGCGACCCCACCTGTGAGTACTCATTGATTTTTGGTACTGTTTAACGTGAGCCTGACAAAACTACTACCCTAATAGTACAAAATCACTCTTCCATTGATTTGCTGTTACTAATCCGGCAGCCCATTATGCCTAATACGATTACTGTAAGTGGTACGTGGTGAGCTTTTAAGAGAACAGAAAAGTAAGGGCGGTCCTGCATCGGCTTCACGCTTAACTAATTTCTCGTACAGACCAGTATAGTTGCAGACTTTTTAAGCTTTACACGAACGCTTTAGAAGATTAACGAGGTCCAGTAGAAGAACAGTGCAAAATTATTAATGGTAAAACGATCCTTTTGACATTTTCTTATAAAGAATATATATAATAATGGGTAAAAAATTAAAGTTTAGTATTCTGTCAATATTCTACTGACGCTGTGAAATGGTTGGGTTATTTTAAGCTAACTAGATTTTGCTACAATTCTTCACACCAAGTAAATGAAGCAGTTTGATTTTTTTATTGCACCTGATTTGATTCTATATGTGAGTACATGATTTGAGAAGCCGGTCTCAACAACTTCTTAGAGCAACTCAAACAGCAGGTCAGTAGGTTCTATATACACAGTCAAAACGCCGTAATTATGTAGCTGTTACTGGATAGACCAGAATATGGTCAAGAAATGCGAAAATTGCGAGGAAGATTATTCGCATAGTGAATTTGAGCCTTACAGTTTCATAGGATTAGGATTACAAAGCCACCCTCCAATTCACCATAATACCACGCGCTGTAAGGGAATAGATTTTTATTAAAACTAATAAGAACTAAAATAAAATTATGGTGCTAGAGTGTTAAAAAATTAGTAAGAAGTGCATAAAATAGTTTAAAACTATCACAGACAGATCAAGCGGAGCTGAGAGCCCTACAAACAGTGAATGAAAGTCAGCTGACGTCAAGAGAAAGAACTGGGGGTAGGCACGCTTGAGGCGCA